CCCACGATTGACATATTTGATTACTCAAAATCCCCAACTTATTTCATATGGCAGATGTGGGATTCCTAACACCCTACCTTGTGGGCATTGACTCTCTTAAATTACCCATTATTTATTTTCCCATTTGTTTTTAATGTTAAATTTCTTATATAATACGTCAAAATATCTTTTTTTTTTTTTTTTGCTATTCAGTCTTAGGCTGAAACTCATAAACCATGCATATTATTGTTGCAATGTGCTTATTATAATTGTGAGCTTGCAGTTCAAAAGATTCGTGAAATCCAACCTTGACCTTGCCAAATGGGCGCACGTCGCTCACGTTCCTAGCTTTGAGGATTACATGGAGGTTGGTGAGGTTGAGTTCGGGGTGTATATGGTTATGGCAGGCACTTTGATGCGTATGGAACATGCTACTGAGGAATCTTACGAATGGCTCAAATCCAGACCTAAACTCATTCAGTCAATAGCTATAAACGCACGTCTGATGAATGACATGACCGGTTTCGAGGTAGGACAGTTTTTTTTTTTAAAATAACTCCTCTTGTTGCCTTTGAATATTCATGTCATTATTTTTTTTGTTTTTATTAAAAACTTAAATGTGACTTCATTAGGATGACATGAGTAGAGGATATGTAACTACTGGGATGAACTGTTATATGAAGCAATATGGAGTCACAAAAAGCGAAGCTTTTAGAGAGCTTCATAAAATGCGTGTAGACAACGAGACGATAGTGAACGAAGAGTTGTTGAAGACCAAAAATGTGCCAAGACGAATTCTCAAGGAAGCCATCAATTGCGCACGCATGACCAGAGTTGCTTATGCCTACGGTGAAGGATTTACCCATCCTGAAGGCAAAATTAAAGACTTTATTAGCTCTCTTTATCTTGATCAGATTCGTCTGTGAAGACTTTCGATTTGAAACATTGTAATGCGTGTGAGTGTGTGATCTTTGGTTTGGTGTTTGCTTCTGTCTATATTCAAGTTGTTTGATGCATGATTAAACTAATAAATGCATGTTTGATAATATTTCACAATTTTTTTTATTGATAAAAGATATGCGGAATCGCGTTAAAAATCAAATTCCGCGATTCCACTAGCTACAAATCAGAGGTGTTTTTGTTTGCTAAGAACATTTTTGGTCACATACTCATGAAATTTGTGTGTTGTTTT